TTGGCGGACAAACTGTCACTAAATCTACCCAGTTTTAGAGTTACAAAGATAGTTAAACAGCCTCAAGATTGGAAAGTAAGTGAATTACCTGCTATATATTCACCAAAAACAAGGAATTCACGAAATGGATTACTGAAAAGCACGGTTGGTTTGTGGAAGAGTCACCTGTTGTATGGAGAGAATTAGTGGATCAGGGAGGAAAAGGAATTTTAATTGGAGGCGCGAACGAATTTCAAGAGTTAGTTGCTGCTTATTACGGTGAACAAATCTCAATACGTACGGATGAAATGTTGAATATCATGAAGAACAACATCAAATATAAGATCCAAGAAGATCAAGAGCAACAAATGAAGATCATTAACACACCATCCCCATCAAATGTGGTAGTTATTGGTGCAGCTGGACTTGGTACTGGTGATTTTCTGGCTAGTATATTAAATGGGAAGGTTTTCGGTGATGAGATGATAGAGTTGTACTTAAGTGATGAAGTCAAAAATAAAAATAAATTGTTCGAACTGAGAGAAGTGCTCGAGGAAGCAGCTCTTCCTAAACTTAGTAGAGTACACATTAGTGACGATGTTGATGAATGTCTGACGCACGCAAAGCAAGTCGTCATTCTAGATGTTATCCCAAGAAAAGGTCCTAGTTTTTCAGACATCAGGATACAAGATGAGTGGGAACCAAGAAGTGAGTGGTTAATACGACGTTTTTTATATTTTGACAAACTTGGACAAAAAATGAAAGAAAAGTGTCCGAAATCTGTCAGAGTCCTATTAGCTGGAAACATAGAAGCAGACACAGTTCTCATGGAAATGACCACGCCTATATGTTTTGACGTGACAACACTTCACAGAAGAACGAAAGGAAAGATACCGCCAGAACAAATAGTTGGTCTAGTAAAGCCACTTGAATTGAAAGTAAAAGCTGCTGTGGCTAGACACCTGAAAGTCCACACATATGATGTCACTGATGTCGTAATTTGGGGGAACTTGGGGAGTTCAGTATTTTTAGATTTATCTCGTTCTTGTGTATCTTGCAGAAGACACTTTGATGCGGGTGTCGTCGGCGGAAGCCACATTCGGCTTCCAGCCTTCAGTGTAGCTGAGAACCCACAGTGGTTACACAAAGAACTACTGAATGAACTAAAGAAAGAAAACAGCACTAGAAAATCTGAGCATATAGGACTACTCTACGAAAATGCTATGGCTGAGTGCTTAAAAGAATGCTGGAACAGTAACCAAAGCCAACCTAACCAAACTACTTCACTTGTTATGATATCAAGAGGTAAATAAAGAACCATTTTTTTGACTTTTAATAACTAGCTCCTTCTCAACTTTAATTGGTCTATCATTTAATGACCATAACATTCGGATATTAGTTAAACTGAATTATACATAAAGACAAGGAAATATGAATATTAAGAATCAACCGATTATCTTATTCTCTTAGTAAGCTGTCCAACAAACTCCATGTTTGGGAATGAAAGCTTGAAATATTTCACTGTATGTATCACACCACATAGGCAAGCAAACTAGATTCAAATTACTAGTCACTACATATAGACAGACAGAAAACCATTTGATTACTTATTCTTGTATATCTATGAGTGACCTTTAAAAACTGGAAACGTAATCATATGCGAGACTGTATAGTATTTTTGATACAAAACCTGTTGGGTGATATCAAAAACTGATACATCAATGTGACTGTTTGGTTTTATTTTCGTGGTATCATTGTTTGCGGGATTGCAGCGACCCCGAATAGGTGGTCCCGGACAAAATTTCATGACGATTATAATAGCAGTGATAGCCTAACAACTTATGATAATGACGTGATATTTAACTATCCATCAGAAGATAAACATACTCTAAAGCAGTTTGAACTGTACAACTGGGACACTAAGTAGGAAAAATATGTGCATGCTAAAGGTGTCCTTCCATAGATATCTTTGACCAGACATTCGATGAAACAGAATTAAGTCGCTAAAACCTTATGGTGGAGAGATCAAAGCATCGGTCCACGAAGCCCTTGGGTCTTAGTTTAGGTTATACAAGAAAGGCTAAAACTTTCTGGATAGGGTTTTCAAAACGAGGAATTAGTAGCTGATACGGTTACGGACATAGTGCCACAAACATTCTTTATTGTCAATACGTCATCACTGTTCATTAATCTATTCTGGTTTATTCCGTTATGATATTTGAGTATAACAGTTTGAAACGACATGACTTTGTGGAATTTTACACTATTTGTCAGCGTTCTTTCAGGGCTACACAAACTAGGGACAGTAAGGTACTTCATGCACCAAATTGATAAATCTCTTAAAGGAATGGTCGATTAGATTTCCTAGCCTCTTTTAATAACCCCAGGAAAAAATCTACACGGCAACCTGAACACGAGGAAAGGTGCGAAGATTGGTGGTAAGAAATTATTTAACTCCCGAAATAAATCTGACTTAAGAATACATCACATTTTATATGGCTTATTTGAAGCTATATTAACAGTTGAACAATCGAACTAAGCTGTATTGAGCAATAGTAATTTAATAAGTTACTGTGTGAGCATATATTTAAAATATTATACAATTAATCATCTATGATACTTCTTAAGATGTGAATACATGTCACACAATATTAGAAAAAACTAATTTCATGTCATTCACATTCTAACTTATTAAGTTATTACTCGTCATATCACAGATAACTTTAGGCATGAGGATAAATTACCAGGTGCAGTTAATTTCTACTGATGAAAAATGGTTTCAGACTTCGGATGCCCTACACTAAGTATGTTAAATATGCAGCAAATTACTGTCATATTAGGCTATTATGGATAGTGAGGTGATGGAGGATATTTGTTGCTCAGATGAATGATATTGACGGTTTTGGATTCTCTGATTAGGATGGTTTGATTGTGAAGCTTCGTGTCTACAAGTAGAAGTGAGCACTCTAAAATTATTTCAAAGCGTTAAAACGACCATTAAGACTCTATTTGTGAAAATACTTATATACAATTTATACTGATGGATTCTAATTAATAATCGCCGTTGAAATTTTATCAAGATTACATACTCGTTAAAGTAATGAGAACAAGAGTACCATTAAAATTGAGATCAGATAACTAATAACCCAAAAATCAGATAGGCGACAATGCAATCCACAGAACCTTTGCAGTCAATCAGATGTATGATTTCACGGTTAATCAAAGTATCAAGGCAGACAACAAAACTAGGATGATTTATTTAATCGTCATTATCTAGTATCATACACAGTATGTACAAATACAGACTTGTTTCGCAAATCCATCACATGTTAGTAAACTAAAAAACTTAGGGCGAAGCGTTGATTTATATGTACAAGTAAAAGGGAAAAGACTCTAAATGTAGATAAGGAAATAAAAATGGCATGATATAGAGAAAATCCAGTCTGTAAAAGCTTTAGTGTACTAAACCTCAAAAATGATCAATATAACATGATCGAAGCAATTTTCAGAACGTTCATATCTCAAAAATAAAATCCAGATATAACAGAAAGATGCTGTTCAATTACCGTAATGCTAATTGTTAAACAGTATATAAAGATCCTCTAGCTATGCCTAGGAAGTTTCAAACTACACTGAACAGCCCGTTTTGACGTAGATATTACAACTCATTTCTTACGCATTTATAGAGCTGTGTCCATTAAATAGCTGTTTGCTCGCTTTCAGGCTGGTATGGCGTACCGGAAGGGATTGCATTTTCGTTCCCTGTTATGTGCGGCTCCTACGGATATTGGTGGGTTGTGGAAGATATGCCTCTTACGCCAGAAGTTGAAACTCAGTTGAAAACATCCATTCGAGTAAGTATTAGCGTTATCACAGGAATAATTTTCCCTTTAACCTTCCAAATTAGCAATGAAACATAGGATGTGAATACACTTTATCAGTACATATTCAGGATTATTCTTCCTCAGTTTACCATTAAAATTAAATTCACACACGTATGATCGGAAACATTTGGATCATTTCCCATTAGAATTTAGTTAATTTTCAAATTCAGATATGAAAAACGTAAAACTACATTTAAGCTTTGAATTACTTTAAACTTCCTGATAATGAATATGTGATCACTTCTGAATAAAGAAATCTCGGTTAAAATGAATTTAATTAAATGTGAAACTTACCATGAGATTTATTTGGTAACAATTGGGAAAAGGTACTTAATGTTTAATTAGAAATGTAAGTCTTCTCTTTAATTTGTCTTAAATTCAAATAAATTGTATCCAGTCGGAGTTAAGGTCCACAAATAGACAAAATGAAATAAAATGTACAAAATGACTATCTGATAAATATTTTTCCACCCAGCATACTTCGTATATTTACAAACCTTCATTATGGTTTATCCGCTTTCGATAATTTAATTAACCAAATAGTTTGTACGAGATATTAACGAAATTCATTTTTTTGTAAAAGTGAAGTTTGGCTACAACAGATAAGGGATCAAATATTTGGGAGTTTTAGATTTGATTTTATACCATCTGCAATAAGCTACATTAGAACTAACAAGGATCCTACAGTCTAACAGAATGAACCAAACAGAAATAGTCGTGTTAAAAATATATAATTACCTAGGGAGTTCATTTTCTAATTCCAAGCTTAGTAAAAAAAAGGTAAAGTACCAGTTTTGTATTCATCTGTATTAAAAACAGATTATTTTGATGTACAGTGTTGATTAGTTTAGTATCCCATTATTTATTCCTTATTGTATTTCTCCAAGTTATTCTAGAGTCATTCATCAGTCAGATATTTTTCCTAGTGGTGACTCTTCTTAGAACGTTGGACAACAATGTCACGTTTCGTGTTGTCTTAAGATTTTCGGTTAAGTTTTGAGTTAGTTGTTTGTCACTACCAGTAAAATGAAATCTTATTTCAATATACAAAAATTGTTTTACTTTAGAGTGTCCTCGAAGATTGGGCAGTTGTTGATCCCTTACCATTGGAAGACTTTTTAAAAAAAGGTAACTTTGTTCCACTGTAAATATTGTATTAAATTTTATAGAACAAAAACCCAAATATAACTATAATGAATATCAGGCTGAAAATAATGAAGAGAATTAAAAAGCAACTGGATAAAGACAACAAAACATTGCATTTTGCGAAATAATTAGAACAAAGAAATATTCGCCATACACAAAAAAAGATTAACTTGGTAAATAAAAAATAAGAACTGTTATAAAGAGACAATAAACTACAATAAATAGAACATGTTTAAAAGAGGCTTAATATCCTTGTTATAAAGAAGTTGAGTTGACTTTATATTTCAAACAAATGTATTCATGAAAAAGTAATTAAATAACGATAGAAAAAAGCACTTGTTTAAACAAATTACGTGGTCTTGATTTACATTTGTTAAAAACATATTATTAGAACATTTTGCACGGAGAAAAAAGCTAATCGATTAGCATATTTAAGCCTAAAGAAGGTATTACTAGTTGGTTCTAGGTGCCAAACAAGATTAAGCTTCACTGAACTTTGCGACTGATTTTTTTGGATTTATCAGCTATTGGTCTTGGTTTATTATCAGCTGCTATGTGTCGTTGGTATAAGCTAGTTAAGATATATACATATACATAAATGTAATTGATTTGATGTTGATAATAGTTATATTTAACTGATAATTTTATCAAAGAATTAATGAAATACGAATCTTACCTGTAAGCTATAACACATACAAAGTTTAAATTTTTTTAAGATTGACTGTATACGTCTCTCACAAGTAGTGACAAACATGGTCTATTGAACTGAGCACTTTTTGTAGGTGAAGACTATCTTATTAGAGTCTGTGCGATTATCATAACGAATCGTCGAAGACAATGGGTATTATCCCTTATAATTGGTCGCAATGGCCCAGATGCACTTGGCCTCCTTTGTTCTAGATTGCGTGTTCAAAAATTATCTTATATTTTTATATGGCTAAATTAATCTTCTCGAGCCATATTATCTATATTTTTTTAATACCACTAATTCTGTCAACACTTTACTACTGTGAAATTTGTCCTGAGAATTTTACCTATTAATGTTGATGGGGTGTGGTAATGGGAGCCAATGTACACATGTGCCAGATTCCAACTTGCTTACGATTGATTGATTAGACAAACATTAACAGTGGGTTGACGGCTTCTTGTTGACTAGACGTGGGTATCCAACACAAAACATAAAACAGATTCTCACATCATTTTCAGACTTTAAATTACTACAATGGTTTATCTGCTTTCATTAATCCAATATTTATTGTTTTCAAATGATCTATATTATAAGCAGTTGTGACACATAAAAAGTCGGTGTCGCCTTTCGGTCTTGGTATTATACATACTGAAGAGACCGAAGTGAAATACAACTACGTCATACAGAAACAGCAAATATCTCATGAAAATGAGAGTCTAATGTTTAAAGAAACTTAAACTGTTTTTAGACAGAATGATTTTATTAAGAGTTAAGAAATATCATGTCGATAATGAAGACTCTGATGTACATTACTAACACCTGTTACTCCTCATGAAGCTTAGGTCGCCAATCAGGATTCTACAACCAACTCTGTCTTAGGCTCTCCTTTCTAGCTGTTTTCAAGTATTATTCAATCTTTTGATGTCTGCCTCTTATTCACAGTGCATTGCGTTCTTTGATCTACCTCCTTATCTTTTCCCTTTAGGATTTCAAGTTAGCGCTCACCTCGTGATGCAGTTTGATTATTTGCACAATGTCCTACTCACTTACAGCGTCTTTTCCTAACTTCTTTCTGAGCTGGAAGTTGGTTTGTTCTCTCTCACAATAGGTTTTTGATGTTATCCGGCAGACGGATATTGAGTATCTTGAGTAGACAACTGTTTATAAATACCTGTACATTTTTGATTATGATTGTAGTTGTTCTCCACGTTTCAGCTCCGTACAAAAGAACTGTCTTGAAGTTCGCATTGAAATTTCTAACTCTGATATTTACTAAGAGTTGTTTTGATTTACATGTCTTGCAATTAAAGGAATCTTGTCCTTGCTTTACCAAACCATCCATTCACATCTGCATCAGATCCTCCTTGTTTATCGATGATGCTACCCAGGCACATAAAAATTTCTACCTATTCCAGTCAGTCAGTTAACCAGTCACAAGGTAGAACGCAGTACGTATGTAAATCGGTTCAAGTTACCAAGCCCAATTAAAACAGGGAGATGAAAATGTCAGGCAGAATCCCAGAACAGTAGAGCAAGTGACCGTATCATTGATAACAGGAAAGATTAGGTATCGAAAATAAGATTCAAGAAAATTCAAAGAGGAGAAATAAAACAAAAGCTGGGAAATTCAGAATTTGAGGGAAGACAAAGAATAGATGCAGTTGAGTCATTGCAAACGATTTTGAGACTTGCCGTCCAAAGTCTATAACCATTGGTTATGATAATTAACCGGGTCCTAACAAGGTCGTCTACATCTGTTAACATTATTTAGTCCGACTGTCATTGACTTTATGGACTGATATGACGTTTTGATTTGACCGCCCCTAACTTTAATCCAGCCTAGTCCTACGCCAGAAAACATTCCCCGTCGAGTTGGGTTATGGTTGGGCATATTTAACACATGTCCAAACCACCACAGTTGATGAAAATTTACCGCCTCATCAATCAATTTCTCATATTTACCTAGTACTCTACTCCTAACCCTGACATTGTTTACTCCGTGGTCTCAAAGTATACGAGCAACGCCTCGTAGATACCTGTGGTCGAATACCAGTGACCTACGATTATCCTCTATTCTAAATGGCTTTCAAATTAATAAAGTAAAACGGAACGAAATGCTATGCAGTACACTCCCCACTTTGGTTGGCAGACGTATCTCTCTCCCAAGCCACAAGTGAAGCAAGTTGACAAAAGCTAATAGCGCCTTCTGAACCGGTCCAGAGATTTCATCAGACAACAGACCATCACTACTGATGAGACTCCCAGAATAAGTGGAGTGGTTGATGCGTTCGACTACTTCATTCTCTATCATTAATTCAGGTGATAACGTAAACAAATCGTGAAGTAATATTTTACACTAGGAGGGAGTGAACCACATCCCGAACATCCTTGCATTATTGCTTAAGGTGGTCAGAAGAATCTGCATTTTGTCAGCTTCTTCACCAAACAAAACTATTTCATCTGCGTACTCCAAGTCAATGAGTGTATCTCCTGGGAGATCAATTCCTGAAAAGTCAAACGGTGAGTGTTATCTCTAAAAGTATATCTATGACAAAGTCAAATAAAGATGGGAAAAGCGAACAACCTTGACAAACACCACTTGAAGTAACCGGTGCTGTGGCTAAGCACGTAAAAGTTTCACCTCTTTCAGAGTTTCTATATCAAGTGTGATTGGGTTGGTGTTCTCCGTGTTGGATTTTGGTATCTTGCTTTTTCCCTTGTGCATGTTGAGGCCTACTGCTGCACTGGTTGTCTTGGCCCGTCGGTCAGCTACAATATAGGACCAGGCACATATATACATTGGTCCAAGTTGCCATACCTCATTAGCACAACAAGATGAACACCAAATCCATAGAAGTAGCTACATTAATCGTAGTAATATATAGAAAAAAGATTGCATATAAGGATATAATACAGGGAGAAAGAATTAGTTCAATGTTCCATTCAGGCTGTTTGGGAATGGTGGGTAGTTGTAGAGTAACTGAAGGCCAGCTGAACCGCTCCTTAGTGTTCCGCCCATCGTTTCAAAGGTCTAGACTGAGAAGAGACATAAGGTGCGTACCTTGAGGGCTCCAACGTGTAGTTTGGAGCGACATTTTAGTAGACCGGGACAGTATTTCGCGCACTAGAATTGTTGGTCATGGTGACACTTGAGGAGGAAGTCAAAAGAGGAAGTGTAGAGTTGGAAGTCGAGTTAGGAGGAATAATAGGAATTGAGTCAGTCAGTCAGTCAGCTACAACGTAGGACCAGGCACATTTATGCATCGGACCAAGTTGCCATACCTCATTAACACAACAAGATGGACACCGGATTCATAAAAGTAGTTAATGCAGAGGTGGTAATATATAAAAGGAAGAGGAAGATTGATTATGAATACAGTGATCTTGAGAGCTCCTAAAGGTATGAGGGCGGTTTTTACTTCTCGGTTACCCACACCATAGAACGGTTCTTCTAGAGGTACCACAAAGGAAATTCGGTTAGAGGTGGTCTTAGTGACCTGAGAGCGTGACTGCAGTACCCAAGGTACAACTGCTTGAGGCCGGCCACACAGCCTTTTTGTGAGTAACTTTCGTGTTAGCTCCGTAATTGGTGGGACCTTATCGCCGCAAATGGAAATCCGTGAGATAAGGTAAGGTGTGCATTTTTAGGGCCGACCTTTTACAACCCCACTCTTCCTGGTGGGAAGGCAGCATTGCTGTTATGCTGTCTGTCTGAAGGAAACACCTAATTGCCTTCACACCTATATATAGTCAGCAGTACGACTTCGCCCTCGGACCTTTGGTTTGGTGCTCTTAGTCTTACTGCTCTTCAACCGACCTGTCTGGCGTGGTAGGACCTTGAGCAATGATTGTTCCAGCCAGTATAGCTCGATTGGTTCTTTATGATAGGCAAGCCTGACCACCACGTCAGGGTAGCAGCTACGGTAGGGCTGTTTTGACCTGCATATGTTTGTGTGTATGGGATAGAAGAACTAAGACATCTGTCAAATCCAACTCGCCCAGTTGCATCCAAAATGTCCATTGTATCCCGTGCTTACCCTCAGACGTCGAGGTCTTCATAATCCAGTCAACCACTGCAAGAAAGAGAAAGGGGGAGTAAGTAGCCTTGTCTGACTCCGGTCCTTACTTGAAATGCAACCGTCCTTTATGCACCCTTTGCAGCGTAGCCCGTCGTGTGAATTCCGGATGATGTCGATGATTTTCTCAGGTACACCATAGTGTCGAAGAAACTTCCATAAAGTCGTCCTGTCCACACTGTCAAATGCTTTCTCATAGTCAAAGAAGTTTATGTATAGTGACGAGTTCCTGTTATATCCGGTGAAGATTAAACTACAGGTAAATTCCAAGGACTATTCATGGACTAACATTCTATAAATATTCTTATTGTATAACTACTCAACAATTACACTATGGATATTTATATTCCTTTTATGATAAGCTTTATTTTGATCTATAATTTATTATTGTACGATTTACGGTTCTTAAGTTATGTTCAGTTTATTAACTACTGCCTCCCACATTCACAGCCACTTTTTGGGCTTATTTGTGTACAAATATTATTTCCTATTTTATGGTACGTTGCGGTCTGTGTGATTGATATATAAACCAAGTATGCCTGAAATAAACGATCTGGTCTGATCTGCTCTGATTCGAAGCTGGTATCTTGTTCTGGACTCAAGTGGAAGGGCTCGTAGGACATAGGACCAATAAGGACGCTAAACTGCCCACACCGCTTGAACGTTATTGGTTGGCCTAGTGTAAAGATCCGTATAAGTCGTATTCGGATTGGTAGATAAATCGCGTGATAAGAAAGTCAGACATCCAAGGTCATAACAGTTCCATCCAATTGATTTCCTAACGATCATCTGTAGTGTCGCAATTTGGTCTGTGCACGACAGATCCTTACGGGATTCGGACTGTTAATCTCGAAGCTGGGCATCTACTGAGTCTTTTATTCGGTTTAACAACACTCTGATGAAAACCTTTCTTGGTACTGATAGTAGTGTGAGAACTATTTTAACAAGTTAGTATTAAACGATTCTTTTACCGACTGTCTAAAATAAAAATTCTACAAAATAACTCGTATATAGATTGATGTGTAACTCATATGGTGGCCAGTGTGTACTAAAGTACAGAGTAGAATACGGAAACTAGCTGGTCCATCAATGTACACTCATTATATGGTAACATGAAAACTTTTGATTAAAGTTTTCCATTAATTGTACATATAAACAGAAACGTTATGTATGTAACCAGTCTGTGGATATTATTTTTAGAAACGTACTACTCCGAGGTAAAATCTTACTGAGGTTAATTCTAAGCTTGTTTTTGAGTGCGTGTGGATGACTGAGTAATTCTACAGTTAAAGTTTAAAATGTAAACCGTAGAATGCCGGCTTAGTGGTATAGAGGTTAGGCGTTCGAGCTAGACTCGAGGTCCTGGGTTCAATCCCTGGTAGCAGGACTATGAATGTGCAATCCTGACGAATCCCATACTAGGATTAAACAGCTGTCCAGTGCCTTCCCGTTCTCAGTGTTTTTTTAAATAAAATCTTTCTGTGATATTAACTGTAAAATTGAAGAATCTCCAAAAACCCCAACAGAAATTCTACAATAGTTGTAAAGATTATCGCAATCCACTAACTTGTCCCATCTCATGACTTATGTGTTAAATGTATTTTAATACTTTACTGACGCATTAAAATCTAGTGATAAAACACGTAGATATAACCGTTGAACAATTGTATAATTTGGATACTAGATGGTTGAAGGTAACAGGTAGAGAATGAGATTATGGAGTATGTTTTGGTAAACAAAAGTGGCTGAGTACTAGAAATCCTAAAAATAACAAATATGTAATTAATGACAAACTATACGTTACTTAAATATATACGAATATTAGTCAATATTAGAACGAAAAGTTTGATGAAAATTGGGTGCCGAGTATAGAGAAGTCATTATATGTGAAAATTATATTTGAAATAATCTCAGCAATTGAAATTTAAATAATCCCGTCTCTTCCAGACAAGCTCGTTCGACGAAACGTTAGGATTATTTAAATTTCAATTGCGGAGATTATTTCAAATATAATTTTCACATATAATTACTTAAATCTGTGTATATTTGTGTGTAGATCAGCCCCCAGAAAAAATAACAAAGTTAGGATTGTTCTTGTTTTTCTTTTAAAGCCATTTTTAGTATAATTGTACAATAAGTTAGTGTGACTTGTCAAAAAAATTTATAGAAAGAAAATTTTTGCAAACACAATAAACACAAAAGTGATGGACAGTTCGCGGTACAAATATATCTCAATATTTTGAAACTTACAATTTGTATGTCTCTGACCGAATATAATCAAAGACGTGAGAGAGACCAACTTGTAACTGATCCTCTATTGGTGAAACCCAATCATTGCCTGATAGTTTAGCTACCTGTTTAGGCCCACAGAGATCAAGTATACCTTGGAAATAGAAAACAGTAAATCACTTTGCATCAATAAATAAACAATAACAAAAGCACTAGAGTCGAAAAACAATATACATATGTGGTATTTTACTTACATAATGACACCTTAACTAATGTGTACAGGATGAACTATTCGTAACTTAGCATGTTTACAAACTTGGTTTTGAGCTACACTATTTGTGTGAGGATAGTAACACTAAATGGCTGCTCAAGCCAGAGGGAGGGGAGTGTTTGAAACTGGAACTTATGTAATCAATGTCTAGTGCTGTAACCAATAGGATTGTTTTAGGGATAAAAAGAAGTAGGGTGGTAGTGCTTTGACGGCTGTAAATATTTTCTGTGTCAGCCTGAGTGTTTTAGGATTTTGAATGATTTTATTAACTTTCCAACGTAAAAATTCCATTCTAAAATATAGTTACGTTTATGTTACCAGAGTGAGCTCGAATCCTGACTACACTTCATCTTTACTATCGCTTTCAGCAGACGAGTTTACTTAATTTCCTGTTACTGCCTTCAGCGGTTAACCTTTAGTCGCATATAGTGATTTCTATTTATGAGATGGTAGCTTACATACCATGGTAACCAAAATGTAGGTTATTCCCCTACTCGTCTCGTTGTGCCTCTAAATCTCCTTTTTATCAATGATGCGGTAACATAAGAGACTCGCAAACGAGCTTCTTTTTTTCAGTTATGATCACTTTTTAATTTGTTCTCAAATTATATGAGAAGCTTGGAAACTGTATCCTTTTTCATCAGATGAAAGTGAGATGTAGGCACTAATGAGTATTAACATCCAAGATATGGAAAACATACTTCGAAGGACGCATTTATTTGAAAATGAGTTGATAGAAGACTAAACTAATGCTATAGCTTTTCACCCTAAATTTTGCTTTGATAGTCATTGTTGCAGTGAAAAAAAGCCTTTATAAGATTTAGCCCCCCCTTATCTCCCCACAACTTGGAAGGTTGGGAGAAAAATGACGACTAAAAGAAGAATTCTATTGTAGTATGAGCAGATAAACAATATAACATTTATTCTTGATTAACTGAAAAAGGACAAGCAAACTCGGGATTCCGACATCAATAAGCCAAACAAAAGCGTACAAATGCATGAGTGAAAACTTGTTAGTTGGTATAGAAAATGAAGTCCTATCCCTATAATAAAAGACTGTACCTATGACTTAAGTAACTTCAATTTAATGAATCAGATGGCATACTGTTTATATACAATAAGCAATTTGAAACCTAGTCAGTCAGTTAGTAACAACATAGAACTTCGCACGTACGTACATCAGTTCGAGTTTTCATACCACATTAGCACAGAGATGCAGTTGTCGATTCAAATCCTATAGTTGTGGAGGTAGTACGAGTATAAGCAGTCATTGGAAACATTAGGGTTTGAAGATGTTATTCAAGGAGTATAATCCAGTGAAATCAATTTAGAAAGGGAAGAAAGGGACATGAAGAATTCAGATTAGAATTTGGGAGAACACAAAGAGAGAATGCACCTGCGTCATTGCAAATGATTTTGAGCCATGTCATTCAAGGTCTCTAACCATCGGTTGCTAACATTTCGCGGATCCCAACCAGGTAGTCTACACCTACCAACATGACTCAGTCAACTTGTCAGTGACTTCATGGACTTGTGCCATGTTTTGTTCAGGCCGCCCCTAGCTTTCTTCCAATCTACTCTTGTACCATTGAACATCGCTCGTCGAGGCAGTCGGTCGTTGGGCATACGTAACACGTGTCCCAGCCATCTCAACTGATGAAGTTCCATCACTTCACCAATTGATTTGCCATCCTTACTTAGTACCCGTTTCCTAACAACTGCGTTACTTACTCGATGGTCCCAGGATGCACGAGCGATGTTTCGAAGACACCTATGATCAAATACTAGTAACCTACGGATATCCTCTACTCTTACCGGTCATGTTTCACTGCCATAAAGTAGGACGGGGCGAACTGCTGCACAGTAAACACGTCCATTGGTTGATAGACGGATATCTCGCCTACGCCATAAATGAAGCAAGTTGGCTAAAGCTAGTCGAGCCTTCTGCATCCGTGCTGAGACTTCGTCACACACCAGACCACAGGGGCTGATGAGACTTCCAAGATAAGTGAAGCGGTCGACACACTCAACTACTTCACCCCCTATCATTAGTTCAGGTGTCGATGCAACCCAATCCTGAAGCAACATTTTGCATTTCGAGGGGGCGAATCGCATCCCGAACATGCTTGCATTGTTGCTTAGAGTGGTCAGAAGACTGCACTTTGTCAGCATCTTTACGGAATAGAACTATTACTTACTTACGCCTGTTACTCCTAATCGAGCATAGGCCGCCGACCAGCATTCTCCAACCCATTCTGTCATGGGCCTTCTTTTCTAGTTCAATCCAATTCTTGTTCATTTTTCTCATGTCTATTTCCATTTCCCGGCGTAATGTGTTCTTTGGTCTTCCTCTTTTCCTTTGGCCTTGAGGATTCCGTGTGAGGGCTTGTCTTGTGACGCAGTTCGGTGCTTTCCTCAATGTGTGTCCTATCCACTTCCAGCGCTTCTTCCTGATTTCTTCCTCCACTGGGATCTGGTTTGTTCTCTTCAACAGTAGGTTGTTGCTAATAGTGTCTGTCCAACGGATCCGAAGTATTTTGCGTAGACAGTTGGTAATAAACACCTGTATTTTCTGGATGATGGCTTTCGTAGTTCTCCAGGTTTCCGCCCCATACAGTAGAACTGTTTTGACATTTGTATTGGAAATCCTGACCTGGTGTTGGTTGACAGTTGTTTTGAGTTGCAGATGTTCCTCAGTTGTAAATATGCTGCTCTTGCTTTGCCGATCCGCGCCTTCACATTTGCATCAGATACATCGTGTTCATCAATGATGCTGCCCAAATATGTAAAGGATTCTACATCTTCCAAATCTTCTCCGTCAATTGTGATCGGATTGTTGCATGCTGTGTTGTATCGGAGAATATTGATTTTCCTTTTGTGTATATTGAGACCTACTGCTGCTGAGGCTGCTGCCACACTGTTCGTCTTCTGCATTTGTTGTTGCATTTGGGATAGAAGGGCCAGATCATCTGCGAAGTCTAGATCGTCCAACTGCATCTTAGATGTCCATTGTATCCCGCGCTTTCCTTCAGACGTTGACGTCTTCATGATCCAGTCGATCACCAGGAGAAAGAGAAAGGGTGAGAGTAAGCAACCTTGCCTAACACCGGTCTTCACTTCGAACGACTTTGTCAACTGTCCTCCATGCACAATTTTGCAGTGTAATCCATCATATGAGTTCTGTATGATATTGACTATCTTCTGAGGCACGCCGTAGTGTCGAAGAAGTTTCCATAGTGTTGTTCTGTCCACGCTGTCAAATGCCTTTTCGTAGTCAATGAAGTTGATGTAGAGTGATGAATTCCATTCAATTGATTGTTCCACAATGATCCGTAGAGTTGCGATTTGGTCTGTACACGATCTATCCTTACGGAATCCTGCCTGTTGGTCTCGAAGTTGGGCGTCTACGCAGTCCTTCATCCTGTTTAACAATACCCTGTTGAAGACTTTTCCCGGTATAGAGAGAAGAGTGATGCCTCTGTAGTTATCACACTTGCTGAGATCGCCTTTCTTCGGTATTTTGATCAGAAGTCCTTCTTTCCAGTCTGTTGGTACTTGTTCCTCATCCCAAATCTTATTGAAGAGAATGTGGAGTATCCTTGCAGTTGCCGCTACGTCTGCTTTTAGTGCCTCTGCCGGGATGTTGTCCGGTCCTGCTGCTTTGCCACTCTTGATTTGCCTGATGGCCATGCTGATTTCTTCAATTGTTGGTGGGCCAACATTGATTGGGAGGTCTGTGGATGCTGCTTCGACGTTGGGTGGGTTCAGTGGGGCTGATCGATTCAAGAGTTCTTTGAAGTGTTCTACCCACCTGTTTTGTTGCTCTTCAATGTTGGTGATCACCTCACCTTCCTTGCTTTTCACTGGTCGTTCAGGTTTGCTGCGATTTCCAGAGAGTTTCTTTGTTATGTCATACAGTTCTCTCATGTTTCCTTCTCTTGCAGCCTTTTCCGCCGTCGTTGTTAAATCTTCCACATATTTACGTTTGTCGGTTCTGATGCTCCTCTTCGCTTGTTTGTTTACTTCTGTGTATTCAGCTTGTGCCTTGGCTTTTTCTGCTCTTGTTCGACTGGTATTGATCGCTGCCTTCTTGTTCTTCATTTCTTGAATCTTATCCAGTGTATCAGTAGTGATCCATTCGTTGTGATGGTGCTTCTTGTGGCCCAGGACCTCACGACATGTTGAAGTGATTGCCTCTTTGATCCCCTTCCAGTTGCTCTCCATAGTAGTTTCTTCTCCATTGAGTAGATCATGAAAGGCCTGGAACTTATTGCTGGGGCAAATAGAACTATGTTATCGGCATATTCTAAGTCAACAAGTGAATCTCCCGGTAGAAGTTCAACTCCTTGAAATTTAGATGAGGAAAGTGTTATCTCTAAAAGCACGTCAACGACAAAGTTAAACAAGAATGGAGAGAGTGGACAGCCCTGACGAACACCATTTGAGGTAATCAATTCTGATGACCGTTTGCCATAAGCTCTCACTTTACCAGTTTTGTTCGAATAGAGAGCCTTTATAAGGTTAATGTACTTCTTTGGTACTCCTTTCAATGACAAACACTGCCATAAAACCTCACGATCAACAAAGTCAAATGCCGCCTTAAGGTCGAGAAATACTACGATTGTAGGGCGTCTGAATGTGTGTCTATGTTCTAGGACCTGACGTAGTGTGAATATCTGGTCTATGCAACCACGTCCAGGTCGAAAATCAGCCTGGTTTTCTCTAGTCTGTTCTTCACGAGCTTTGGTTAGACGTCGAAGAATTATTGAAGCTAATATTTTAGACATTATATTAGTCTGTGATTGTCACAAGAGGACTTTTGTCCTTTCTTATAGACTGGCACAATCAATGATTGAGACCAGTCAGATGGGATTACATCCAGT